CAAAATCAGTTTCTTTCTTGGCAAAGGAGATTCTCAACTTTTCACATTTATCTGCATTAAGGTGGACTCTGTTATCATACAACCACTGGATGACCTGGTCAGCTATACACTGGGCAATACTGGCACCACCCTTAGGAATGGACTTTGATGCAGTGGTATCATCCACAAATTGCCAAAGGTGTGGTGCTCTGTGATTCTGCCCAACTAATGTAGTCAATGGCGCTGAGAGGTGTGGACTTTTTAATCTAGTCTGGGGAGGGTGGGGTTCCTTAGTGAAAGGAGATGAGTTGTAACGTGATTGAACTCATGAAGGGCTGCAGCTGCATTCAACATGATTTCTATATTTTTGTTTTTTGACAAGGCTTGTCCTTCCTATATGGCATTATTAACTTCAAAGATGAACTCTTCATTGAGGATATTGACAGTGTCATTGGCATCCTGAGTGATTGTGTAGGTCTAATGGGAAGTATACAATCATGCAATTTTGACGAACACACCTTGGCAAATTGAGAACGTGCTTTCTTTAAACGTTTCCACTGCTTGGCTGGTTTGTCTTGGCGTAGTTCTCAAGCAGTTTGGAAAGGTATTTTTCACTATTTTCGTAGTTTTTGTAAGGGCCTTCCTCAACCTCGTGTGCATTCTCATTAGTCATGCAGCTATGCCCACTACAGTATTGTGTAAATAATAATCATTTAAAAGGAAGCACCTTACCGTGTTTATATGTTACTTTTTAATGAACATGTCCTTTACTTCTGAAAATTCAACCAACACCCTCTGCAGATTGTGATGATTGTTGGAAATCAACATGTACATTTAACAATCGGATGGATAAATTGCTATCCAGATAGTTGCCATGGTAATAAATCCAACCTTGCATGAGCTTAGATTGCACATAGATTGCAAGTGCCCGACAGACAACAACGTGGTGGAAAATGTTGAACCTTTGCCAGCCAAGCGCCCTAGAAATCCTAACTTTACGCCAGCAGAGTGTGCCATAATTTTTGAAGATATGGAAGAGAATCTTAGTATAATTAAAAGCAAGTTTTCTTCAACGTTATCAAACAAAAAGGCTCATATCGAACTGTAAATTTTTTTTGTTGATATACTGATGTATTCATGCAAGACTTTGGAGAAAGACAATCCATTCTCTGCTTCAATATGAACAATTGAGCGAACAATTTTGGACCCTGTACCAAACAAATCTATTGAAACAGGCTACTCACACTGTGAGATCTTACCTTGTGTAGTTTCCTTTGATTTTGTAAAAGATGTTTTGGTCATGTGACACTTAAGCTCAAAAGCTCACCCATTTCCTCCGTGGTCCCCATATTGTCAGCTGCAAAGCTTGTCGGCGTTTCCAAGTTGTTTGTGGAAATTATTCAGTATATAAAAAGCTACTGCCTTTTATTCTATTGTCATAAAAAATTGAAAAACTGTCAATTTATGCTAACAAAGGTGTTACCAAATTCGCTGGCAGTGTTTATGTTACTCAAGTTAGTTTTCGTGAAAATACCACTTACATAAATAAGCTTATTTTACCCAAAATCTCAATATATTTAATCTTTCCCAAGAAGCAGATAAGGAGTGAAAAAAGTTTTTTCACCCGCGTCGAGATTCTCTGGAGTACTTACTGGAAAATGTAGTGTGAAAAGGATGATCAGACTAGTTATGGGAGTTAAGGGGTGTTAACACAATTTTTATACAGCACAATTTTTATGCAGCACAAGTTTCAGACTCAATTGATGCTGACACTCTTGAATTATCAACTGTATCCACTGGAGAAACTACTTCCTTATCTGGAAACTCACCACCATAGAAACCAGCTGCCATTCTTCAATCACGCCAGATCCACTACCCAGATGTGATATACCAGTATCTCTACCTGATCCACAACTGAGTTCCTCAAGCAGCTCTGCTCATCACTGTCTGTATCTTGGCTGTGAAATATATGAAATGCTCTTGATCACATGTCATATCACATAGTTTAGTTTTCTTTATTTATTTTCAGCACAGAAAAAAATACAGAAATTACACAGAAGCAATGTGGGGAGGAAGCCCAAAAAGAAACCAATTAACAGAGTGGAAAAAGTATATGTTTACATGTTGCAATCAAGCCAATTGCTAACATGACAGAAGCCCTTGGTTTAACTGAAGCCTTGTCTATTATAATTAACTATAGAATTTAAGTAATGGACGTATTTGCTTATCTTGATGGTTGCAGATTGCCTGTACATTGATCGAGTAATAACCTTTACAGTTCATGAGTTTGTGAGGGGCTGTTATTCTTGGGTGTGTACCATCAATGCAGCCAATGGTACGCGGAAATCCACCAACACGAAAAAGACCTTGCTTTATTTTGTCTCTTTCAAGCCCTCATTGATGGAAATTTGATGACATTGCCAACCTTTGCAGTTAAGGCCTGTGTGACACAATGTACAACTCGGCCGACAGTTGATTTGTCGTTGCCTAAAAATGTGTCTCCGATTATGTGGAGAAACAAATGCAACGCCAAGTACATAAAGGTAATCAACACTTGCATTTCTACTGAAATGGCATGGTTTCTGTTTGTTTCAGGCATGATGTTGTCTGCAACAAGTCCAATGATTTAGTTAATTGCATCTCGCCCAAAATGATATTGACATCTTAACTCGGAGTCAGTGTACGACATTAACAGGTTGAGCTGCTGGCCAAAAGTTGTCCTTTTTTTGGGAAGTTGGTTTGGATGGTTTAGCGACAAGTTGCTCTGTAAAAGTTGCAACTGTTGACCAACCATGTTTGTGTTGTTTATCCAGTGGATAAAAATTTATACTACCTACCTTACCATGGATAAATTTAATTTATGAGCTGGATAGCGAGTGGATGGCGCTATCCACCTTTTGAACAACAAGATGGCGCAAGTGGATAAATTTTATCCACTGGATAGTGATTTATCCGCTGGATAGGACTTATCTGCTCTTTGAACAACCGGAGCCTGGTTGCTTTCTTGCAGTGTTGCTGCCACTGTGTCCTTTGACGGGGCATTTTAAACTCCCATGTTGAATTGATCTACGGTTTCCTCTTATCTTAGATTTCCTGTCATTGTGGTTTACAGCATCTTCTACACTTAATTAGCTGAGTGCCATGTTCATTGATAGCACGTAAATGCTTTATAAACGTGGGTTTTCCTGTTTTCCCATCCGATCTACAGGGAAAGAGTTGCTTTTCTTCCGGGAATTCAGCAACGTCTGTTTTTTTTCAAAAACAGAAACCGTGTTTGCTTCTACACGGGCAAAGTCCAAACTTTCAAATCGTGACTTCCTCATGTTGTGCATTTTTGTACTGCTAGTATTCATGCAACTGCATTGAGAAGAAAACAAACACCCAAAAGAAGAACGCATTTCTCACAGTATTTGTACAACAGCAGACTGGTTTGTCAAATATTCTATAAATTACATACATACATACATACATACGCTTTCAATGGCCATAGGTAGGCCAGGGCCTGTCCAAGACCTACCTGATGCCTCAGATAAGGAACGGTGGTTCCTAGTGGTTGTACAAAAGCCAAATTGTTGCCAATCCCACTCTTCAATATTTCAAAGCCGTCTCCGGTTTTCAACTTGGGGTAGGCAGCCTCAAACTTCTCTAGATGTTGACCGATCCGTCTGTTTCTAAGCACAACCTTCTTTCTTCCCGAGCTAGCGGCTTGCTACTCAAGCTTTGGAGATTTGCAAGGGATAGTATCTTCTCAAGGTGTGGAAAGCAAAAAAATAGTGTCTCTTTTAATGGTCGACCTTTGTTCTTTATCAGCAAAGGTATTGGACATCAGGTTTCTTGGTTCACCTGCCCTTCCTTGGGTTGCTTCATAGTGGCCACAATTTTGTTGTAGTGCAGCACTTATTGTCACTGCATCATTGATAATCTCTGTTGCAAAAGGAACTGGGTGTGATTAAACATTCAAGAACCTTCATGTATACCCTATCATAGGAGATTAACGCCTGTCTTAATTATCGTATTTAAAATTAATGTGAATTTTTAATTTCATGAAGCATTAATTTTCTTTACATATCAAAGTCTTTCCCACTGCAATTAACATCAACTTTTCGTAAGTAACAGTGCTGCTTTTCGAGATTACCCCTTTTAAGTATGCATTGTTCGATTAACTTGAGCTCTTGAAAACATATTGGCAGACTAGTTGAGAAAGCGAGAAGTGAAGACTCCCTAAAGATAAGTGGCCAATTTTTGCTTGCATTGATCTCAAGTTGGAGCAAATAGGAAGGCGGCTAAGTAGGACAAAACTCTACACAAAATAGCAATCGTTGACATTGACATCCTAGTCTTTAAAAAACTTACGAGCTCACTACACTCATGAAAAATTTGGAAAAATGAGCGAAAAAAGCACTTCAGAGTCATTGCAGAACAGACAATATCTTAACTACTACAAAGACACACAAATGCAAATCTCTTTTTCATTACTCAAACACAAATGTGCAATTTCAAAGTGACCTCTTTGATTGGCTAAAACACAACACATGAAAATAAGGAAATTCCCTATTTGCAAACACTTGCCAGTTTGTTTTGACTATGCTGAATATTTCATGATTTACAGAATATTCTAGTGAAATAGGGATTAAGCTAAATCTTTTTATGGTTTAATTAAAACTCACTGCAGTTCGTTGCTGTTGGAGTTTTCAAGGAATGGTTTTTTGCTTCATGAATTTTCAGCTGCTGCCTGTTTCTGTTGTCTTCTTTTTCATTCTCCTCATCAGCTTTTTGCTTCAACTCAATTTCTTTCTTCCAATAACGTCAAGTCTCTTCATATTTTTAAGTGGCTTGAGCTCTGTCAAAACCTTCTTTGACTTTTGCAAGATATGATTTTATCTCATCCAAATTAGCTGAATGCAAAACCTTAAAAATATCTTCGGTATTGAATGAAATGGATATAAACAAGATTTCCGTAATGTATCTTTTTTCATCTTCAAGTAGTATATCAAACATGAGACGCAGTGTTTCATCACCAGATGAAACACCAAGAAGAGAGTTGAAAATACGACGCGCAGCGGAGTATTTTTGACGAACTTCGAGGTGTTTCATCTGGTGATGAAACACTGTGTCGAATGTTTGATATTTCTTCTCAAACAAAATCATTTTTGAAGGAGAAATTAAGGATGCAAATACTGAGCAGTTTTTCATCCGATTTCCAAACACTCATTAAACATTAATTTTCTTTGTATTTTCTTTATGAATTATTAATGAGTTTGAGAATTGTGTTTGAAGCAGTAGTCATCCTTTCAAAAAGTTGTTTGAGTGAAGGTGACATCTTAAGTTGCGAAGTGAAGAAGGTAAACTCTATCTCAGATGCAAACGAAATATGCAAAACTTTGGCTCAAACGCAAACCACGCACACAAATGTGTAAGGGATTTGCATCATTTTTACTTGGTTGGAAAAATCACATGATGGAGAGACTGTAACCATTGTTTCATAATATTTTAGCACCAGGCGTAATTTCATAGATTTAAGTTGATTCACACAAAATGAAATTGTAATTTTAAAAAAATAATTGTAGTATATAATAAAAGTATGCACTTTGGGGATTTAAATAACTTATCAATTGAAGATTTGAATAAAATTTAAATGAAAAAAGAGTTTACTGAGTATAAACAGCAATAAGTAAAACAAAAACTGATTGATAGGGAATAGAAAAGCAAAGAAAAAAGATGTCCAAAGCAATATCCAATCCTAAAAAACCAAAACACAAAATAAAAACATTTGATGAATATTTTCAGGAATGTATCAAAAACAAGAAGAGTCCAAAAGGCACACCAGCTTATCTCAAAAAAGCTCTTGAACGAGCAATGAGAGAATACCATTTTGGAATCAAACATGAAAAATATGTTATTGAAGGAAAACCAAAAATTATTCCAGTTGAGCACTTTAGGGAAAAAGTGCCGCAAAGAAAAGAGTTTCTTAGAAATCATACAAATATTAAAGTTAGATTGATAATGGCTTGTTTAATGGAGAAACAAGTTGTTGATAAGAGAATAGTGAGACTTTCCATCTTTCTCAAACAAAAGTAAATCGTGTTTTGGCAATCTTTTCTTACTGGGTAGATTTTATTTTGTTCATTGTCCGAAAATACATTTATTTTTGAGAGACTTGGATTTTGTTTTTCAAACTTTGTTACATGTAAGACTTTTACTGGAAAATCTATTTTGTAAAAATTGAGGTCATCCTCATATTGCTCAAGGTCATTTATCCTTTTGCTGTTAAGGTTAACTGGATGAAGAAATCTTAATATCGACCACAAAAGACAATTGTTATCATTTTGTTTTCTATATTAAGAATGGCTTTTTTTCTCATTATAAAATCCGGAAGTTGAATGTATGATGGGCTCTTTATTGGTTTGTAATCAACAGTATGAATTTCTAATCATAATACTTCCTTAAAATACCAACCTGAATCATTTCTTTGATAATTTAAAATAGCAAGAATTTCATAAATCATTCCAAACAGTATTTTCTTAATACTCGTTGCTTCAAGATATATATAAGTTTGAGTCTGAAAATAAGCTTTACCTTTTCAAGATTAAGTAGTTCTCAGGTAAGCAAAAATACATTGCTTAAACAATACTTCTGCTGAAAATGCCTTTCACATTTAGTACAAGAGGAATTTTTCAAAAAACACTTTACATATTGTTACGTTAATGAAGCTACAATTTCCTCTTGCTCCAGAGGAAATGAAGATTGATACAACCAAAAAACTTGTTGGAAACTTTTGTCCAAAATGTCATCATGTATTACATTACAGAAATTGAAAACAATATTTTGAACTTGGAATGATACTAAAAAAAGTTCACAGAGGAATCTCATTTTATCAATCAAGGTGGATGGGACCATATAAAAAAAAGAATAGAGAACTTAGAAAGCTGGCTTCAAACAGTTCTGAGAAGGATTTCTTCAAATTAATGAATAATTCAGTATTTGGAAAGACAATTGAAAACATCAGAAAGAGACAAAATGTAATATTGATAGATAATCGTGAACAAGCAATCAAACTGTCATCAAAACCAAACTCTGACGGAGGAACAATATTTGATGAACATCTAATTGCAGCCCACATGAAAAAAGAGAGAAGTTTATTTCAACAAACCAAGCTATATTGGACAAGCAATTTTGGACTTGTCAAAAACTTTAATGTTTGATTTTCACTATGATTATATTTGTGAGAAGTATGGAGACAAAGCTGATTTATTATTTACCGATACAGACTCATTAATGTATGAAATAGAAACAGAACATTTTTATAAGTATATATCAAATGATGTAAGAAAAAAGTTTGATACAAGTGATTATCCAGAAAACCATCCATCAGAAATTAAAACAGGAATAAACAAAAAAGTTATTGGAACATTGGAGGATGAAGCTTGTGGAAAACAAATAACACTTTTTGTTGGTCTTAGAGCCAAACTTTATAGTTATAAATTAGATGACTTGAACAAAGTAAAAGAGGGAAAAATGTAAAGGAATAAAGAAAAATGTTAAAAAAGGAAATAACATTTGATGATTATAAAAAGCGTCTTTTTTTTAGGTAAAGACCAAATGAGAAAGATGAATATAATAAGACGTTGTAATCATGAGATTTTTCCAATGAAAAAGAATGAAATAGCACTATCTGCAAATGATGAAAAGCATAAAGTGCCAGAAGACATGATTCATACTTTTGCTTAAGATAATTTGAATAAACAATTTTTGTTTTAGCATACAAAAATTCTGAATTACACAAATCTGGAAATATTAAAATTTATCTCAATTTTAAATGATTAGAAAAACAATGAAGAAGTTCCCGTTCCAAACAAAGTGAGATGTACAGCTCCACGGAAGGGGTTGCCTTTTTCTTATGATCCAACTATTAAGGCATGCGCACTGGATCCACTTCCAGCGAGTATCATGCGGAAATGCTATTCTAGTCTTGTCCCTATATTTAGAAGGGTCATTAATTTGTCATTGTCATCTGGATTGCTGCCCAAGGAACTTAAGGTGGCGCTGCTATCACCTATTCTTAAGAAATTAAATGCAGACTTTGAGCAGTTTAGTAATTTTCGCCCTGTATCAAATTTAAAGTTCCTGTCTAAATTGATAGAGAAAGCAGTGTTTGTGCAATTGAATAGCTATCTTGGCGAAAATGATCTACACGAGCCTCTTCAATCAGCGTACAAGATTTTTCACAGCACCGAGACTGCACTTCTCACAGTTACAAATGACATTATGCTGTCATTGGATAAGGGTGAGAATGTTTTCCTCGTTTTATTGGATCTGTCGGCAGCATTTGATACCGTTAACCATTCCTTGCTGCTGGCACGACTGCAGAAATCATTTGGTATCAGAGGAACTGTACTGCAATGGTTCGATTCTTATCTTTTTCAAAGAACTCAGTTTGTAAACATCAATGAGGCGAATTCTACGGTACGAGATCTTCCCGTGGGTGTTCCCCAAGGTTCAGTTCTTGGACCTGTTCTCTACCTTCTGTATACTGCGCCACTTGCTAAAGTGATAAGATCTTATGGCTTAGATTATCATCTATTCGCCGACGATACTCAGTTATACTTTGCATTCAAATCGGTGGATGTGGACGCTGCTAAATCGAGGGTCGAGAACTGCATTTCTGCAATATGTCGCTGGATGGATCTCAACGAATTGAAGCTAAACCACGACAAGACGGAGGTCATGCTTATCCACTCAAAGCATCGTCCCTCTCCATCCTTTCAGTCCTTATGTGTTGGTGATGAGAGCGTGGCTGCCTCTCAGTCGGCTAGGAGTCTTGGTGTTATCTTTGATGAGCACATGTCTTTTCATGCACATGTGTCTAGCATCTGTAGATCATCATTTTATCATCTCAGGAACCTATCTAGAATTAGGAAGTATTTCACTAAAGAATCAGCAGAAGTTGCTGTTCATGCATTTGTCACATCGAAACTAGATTACTGTAATCCATTATTATACGGCCTACCTAAGTATCAGTTACAAAGATTGCAGTATGTACAAAACACGGCGGCTAGAGTTGTGTTGCAAGTGAGTAAGTTTCAGCATATCACACCTGTTTTGTGTGCGCTTCACTGGCTACCGATTCAATATCGTATTATTTTCAAGATTCTGCTCGTCGTGTATAAATCACTGAATGGGACATCGCCTAGCTATTTAGCTCAAAAACTACATTATCGTCCTCATTCTAGATCATTGAGGTGTGTTAGTAATGAACTTTTAATGCAACCTAGATCGTATACCAAGACCTACGGAGATAGAGCATTCGCTGTTCATGCACCAAGAGAATGGAACTTAATACCCTATGAAATTCGGAAGTCCAACACCATCTCGAGTTTTAAAAGATCACTTAAGACGTACTTGTTTACTAAATTCAGTGATAACGGATCATTGTTTTTATAAATTTGTATATATTGCGTTAGTTTTAATTTTTTCCCTTTTTTTTATCATTATGAATATGGTTTAATAGTTGTTTTAGTTTCAATTTTTCCTTTTTTATCCATTGTAAATATATTAGGATATGGTAGTAAATTTGTAAATATTTTTCAATAATGTTGTTTACATGATTGTAAAGCGCCTTGAACATAGGATAAGAGCGCTATAGAAATAAAGTTATTATTATTATTATTATCCACAGTCCGAAGCTTGGAAGTTTCTGTTGAATCCCTTCTAAGGGCAAAAGTAGCACTGCTGGCTCTTGAGATATAAATTCTCTGTTACTACATTAAGTCTATTATTGCATACATTAAACCATCTGCAGTGATACATTGTTCTAGTCTTCACTAAATGCCTGGAACGTTTTCATCTAAGTGCTGGCGATCTCACTTGATCCAGACACCAAACTTTGCGCCAGACCAGAGATGCCATATGGACAATACAATGTTCCATTACTAGTTTTCGTCTGCATAGTACAACGACATCAGACCCATTGTGCCGATGAAGTGTATCTGCCTATAGCAACAAAGGCAACATCATGAGCCTGATTGGAAAATTAACAAACAAATATAAGAATATCTTGAATAACAGTATGATAAGTGCTGATAGTCATCAGGATGCTGACAACTGCTTCCTGAGGGTATTACCAGTAGGGTCATACTAGTTCTAATTGAAAAATTGGCTCAATTGCTGCAATTACAAGGAACTGACATAAAGCCAATAGACTTGACAAAGGCCATAGGCATTGATGGAAACAATGTGGTATCCTGACCTAGTTCAGCAAAGCTAACAGTATAACAGACTCCAGATAGTAAATAATTATAGTTAGGGGTACAGAAAAACATCAACCTTGAAAAACAGCTACTGATAATAGTGAAATGTGGGTTTTCAAAATATCTGCTTCTCCATACTCTGTTTCTGTATAGTAGGATTGGGGCGCGGACCAGTCCTTTGTTTATTTCTTTAAGTCTTCCTTACATTTTTTTGCATCTTTTTAGAGCAAATGGTGCAATTTCTCCGTATGAAGGACAGGTCTGCAAAAGCAATAGGAAAGAGTTTTAAAAAGGCTGTTACTATGGGGGTCAATAATGAGATAAATTTTCTGCTCAACGGTAAGCTCAGGTTGCATTCATGCAACTGCATTCAGAAGAGAATAAACATCCAAAATTAGAACACATTTCTCACAGTATTTCTACAACAGTGGATTGGTTTGTCAAATATTCTGCAAATTACATATATGCATGTACATATATACACTTTATTAGAACTCAATTTGCATGCCTATTCTGCGCTCATCACAATAGAGATACAAATATAACTATAAAGTAGCTTTACAAAGTGTAAAGTAGTGCCTGTGTAAATCTCAGTCATACAGAATTCCACTGACCCCACACTTTATCCCCCACTTGTTGGGCTTATTGGGAACGTATTTTCTCAAACTTGTATGACTTTTGGTGGGAAATATTGTTCGTCCACTGGGTAGTGTTCTTCTTTGCTGGCATTTCTCTAGCAAAGAGTCGATAACAGGACGTACTTTATATAACTTTTTGAAATACTTGTGATTAGCTGGTAAATTTGTTTCGTTGTGTTTGTCATCGCCTAGCTCTGGCTTGTGCCAGTGCTAATGACTCTGTAAATAACATGTGCTTGAGAAAAAATTGCGGCAGCAAACAATAAGAGGGTGTATGATAAGGTTTAGATGAACTTGAACAGGATGACAGTGAATGAGAGCACTACTTTTGGTTGTTCTTCGCTATAATGAAAATGGTGACAGACTGCAAGCCATAACTAGGAAAGGCAAGCCCTGTTACTCCATCCACTTTCCAAAGTATAAGAAAGGGAATACCATAAAATTTGGAAAATAAGCCCCGGGCTTATATCTTTCAAAGGCCCTTTTTGAGGGAAATTTGCGTTTCAACATTGGCTAGGCTTATACTTGGAAGGGAATGTATGTCAGTAATTTGCACATAGTTTTTACTGAAACTCGCGTGATGTCTGCTACATGACCTGGACGTAGATCTTTTAAAAACTCAGCCAAGCAAACTTAAAAACACAACCGCAAATTACTTTATTGAAAACGCAATACTCAGTTCAAAGGTAAGGTAACATCAACAATAACTGATAAGACAAAAAAAATGAATCTTAACAAAAAGTCCAGACTTGTCGCCAACAGTTTGGAATCTATGGCACTTCAACAGTATCAACAGCTTCCACTGCGTCGATCAGTTCAAAATTTTCCTCATCTGATGTTTCATTCTCATCAGTGGAAGTGTCCACGTGGAATTCTTCATCTGCTTCTGGCATCACGTACTCACTGATGCCCTCGAGGTGGACTAACGCATTCTCACTTCCATCAATATTGACATTAATGCCACATTTCTTGAATGAGCGCTTCACCATTTCCGTGTTAGAACAAATGTGATCCCATGCGTTTCCAACCCATCTTGTCAAGACTACCCTTTGCTCTGACGCCAGTATCTTTCCTTGGGTGTACAAAGTGAGATTGCCATTGAGGTGTTTCTCAAACTGAGTCCTGACTGCATCTTTAAAGGGTTTGTTGACAGACACATCTAATGGCTGAACTCGACTAGTGCAGCCTGGAGGAATGTTTATTAGGAGTGTTTTCTTTGTTTGCAGGAGTTGTCTCACTTCATCTGTCTGCTGAGCACGATGGACATCAGCAACTAAAATCTTACCGGATAAATTAGCTCTTGGGGGATTCGTGAACATATTTCCCCACTCACCTTCGACCCAAACTTTCATGAGGTTTTCATCGCACCACGCCTTGGGCTGGAACATCGCATTTACCCTGCTATCCCAACTTCTCTTTTTATTAGGTGAAATCCTCTTTCCTTGCCCACGAAAGATGATTGTAGGCCTCACCCGCCAGACTCCATCAGCGAAGATGGTGAGCTGTACTGTACATTGTCGTTTATCTAAACCTGATGAGGCATTCGAGCACCAGACTTCCTTTGCCCCAGTTGAATCATAGCTCTTACCGTCATCAAGAACGAAAGGAAGCGGAGTCTGGTCCATGTTTGCAGTGT